ACTATGGAACTATACCCCCAGCCCTTTTTGTTTTTTACTTTGAGACAGGATCTCTGAATTGCCTACACTGCCCTTGAATTTGAAATCCTGTTGTTGGAGTCTCCCAAGTTGCTGGGATGCAGGTATGTGCCATGGCACCTAGCACAAACCTTAAATTTTCAAGAATGAAATAAGGACATGTTTTGAGGACATAAATATCCAGAAAAATGAATGAAAAATCACTGGCCAACTCTCATTTTTCATTTTATGTTTTGGGGTTACAAACTAAAAAAATAACAACAACAACAAAAAACCCTCTCTATACAATCTCAGGCTTAAAAATCATAGGCATTTCTCTAAAACAACTATTAATTTTGTAACCTTCTAATATCACATAGTTGAAGGAACCCTAGTGTCTGATATCCAACTTTATCATACCACTCTAAAGTTAAATACTGTAAAAACTGGGGCGCTGCAGTATTTTTTAAAAATGAAATATGCTATTCTCCTTATGGAATTTTAGCTGATTAGAAAGAAGAATTGAATTGACTGTCCTGGGATCTGAAAAATAAATGAGATTTGACAGAGTTTCAATCTGAGGAAAACCTAATTTATTTTAAACTTCTTGGAAGTAATTTTCCTCTTATTTTCTAGAGATGTCAAGTGAAATATCCAAAGATAACTATAACAATTAAGTCAATAAATTTCCATGTTTTTCACTGAACAAGGGTAGGAAGGACAGTTTTGTGTCAGGGATTCATGTTATTACCTTAATTATTTATTTATTTTTTTTAAAGAGAGAGAGAATTTTAATATTTATTTTTTAGTTATCGGCGGACACAACATCTTTGTTTTGTATGTGGTGCTGAGGATTGAACCCGGGCCGCACACATGCCAGGCGAGTGCGCTACCACTTGAGCCACATCCCCAGCCACAACCTTAATTATTTTGAGATGCTTTTGTTTTTAAGAAATAAAACATTGCCAGGCACGGTGGAGCATTCTTGTAATCCCAGTGACTCAGGAAGTGGAGGCAAGAGGATCCCAAGTTCAAGGCCAGTCTCAGCAATTTAGTGAGGCCCTAAACAATTTAGTGAGACCCTGTCTCAAAATAAAACACAAAAAGGGTTTAAGGGGCTGAGGTTATAGCTCAGTGGTAGAGTGCTAGCCTAGCATGTGGAAGGCACTGGGTTCGATCCTCAGCACTACATAAAAATAAAATAGAAGTATTATGTCCATCTACAATTTAAAAGAATATTAAAAAAAGTTTGGGGATGTGGCTTGGTGGTTAAGCCTCCACCCCCACCCTAGTACCAATAATCAATAAACAAATAAATAAAATTAAAAATAAAACGACTGGGGATGTAATTCAGTGGTAAAGTTCCCCTGGGTTCAATTACCAGTTTTAAAAGAAAAGTGTGTTAATATTCTAGAGTACATTGTGTCACACACAAAAATAGCATGAAGATAGTTTGGTTTTTCTTTTTTTCTTTCTTTCTCTTGTGCTAGGATCAAACCCAGGATGTTGCACTTAAAGAGCCCTACCACTATGCCACATCCACAGCCACAGTTGAGTTTTTGCTGGTTTGATCTAGAGTAGGGTATCAGCATGATTGGTGAAGGGCTTCCTCAGTGTTGTAGACTTCTAATTAGGGGCTGGCCTGGGTGTTCCAGCTTTTAAAAGGAGCATAAATCATGAGAAAAACAACTCTCCAGAATCATAAAAAGTTCTGCAACTCCATGCTCTGAATATTTAAGGTAAAGGAGATGAAATAAAGATTATGATGACATTATTAAAAAATAAAAAGATAATGTTGAGTGTGGTGGAACACGCCCATAATTGTGGTGGTTTCAGAGGTTGAGGCAGGAGGATTGAACTCAAAGTCAGCCTCAGCAATACAGTGAGGTCCTAGGTAATTTAGTGAGAACTTGTCTCAAAACATAAAGCTGGACACAGTGACACATGCCTGTAATCCCAGCAGCTCAGGAGGCTGAGACAGGGGAATCATGAGTTCATATCCAACCTCAGCAATGGTGAGGCACTAAGCAACTCAGTAGGACCCTGTCTCTAAATAAAATACAAAAAAGGGCTGGGGATCTGGTTCAATGGTCGAGTATCCCTGAGTTCAATCCACAGTACAAAACAAATATAAAAAGAGCTGTGGCTGTGGCTCAGTGGGTAAGCCTTTCTGGGTTTAATCCCTGATGCCAACAAAGGTGAGGGGGGGGATAGAAAAAGATATCACAGTCAATGGAGTACATAAAAAATGACAATAATGAGCCATATAAGAATTATACATGGGGGCAGGATTATAGGTGAGGGATAAAAAATTTCAGATGGGCATGGCCCATGCTTGTAATCCCAGCTACTCAGGAGACTGAGGCAGGAGAACAGAAAATAAAAGGCCACGGATTGGGGTTGTAGCTCAGTGGTAGAGCACTTGCCTCGCATGTGTGAAGCCCTAGGTTTGATCCTCAGCATATAGATAGATAGATAGATAGATAGATAGATAGATAGATAGATAGATAGATAGATAGATATAGATATTGTGTCCATCTACAACTGAAAAAAAATAAAAAAGTTCAAGGCGAGTTTCAACAATTTAGCAAGACTCTGAGCAACTCAGGCCCTGACTCAAAATAAAAAGGGTTGGGGATGTTGCTCAGTGGTTAAGCACCCCTGGGTTTAATCCCTGGTATCAAAAAAAAAAAAAAAAAAAGATGAAAAGATAGCTTCAAGAGCAGAGAGCTCTATTTTACCTCCGCCTTCATTCTTTGGCCAGTTCCTCATCTGCAAAAGTTGAACCTGCACTGTATCCCTTAGGAGAGTTTAAGAAATAACCATGTGGTAAAAAATTACTGCAACTCCATAAAGATGTTAACTATAGGGAAAATGAAGACATTAATTTCAACCTATGGCAATAAAGCTTAATAAACATTTCATCACTATAAAATTTGTGATTAATGTAAAAAGTTGACTTGTGCACACTTGGCTTTTTAACACAAACTTTGTTATTTTAATTAAATGGTTCAAAGTGTGTTTATCACAAAAGTTTTGTGTTCAATGCTTAAATGTTAGGGAAATTATTGTTAAATATTTTGATTTCCTGGTTGTGTTCAATGTTAAAGGCATATTATTTCATGATTGAAAAGATTAATAATTTGAGAATTAAGCAAAATATAAATTGGGTTACATGTTCTTTTCATGTAGGTATCCCTCAGACAGACATTGAATATCTAAGCAACAGTAGATATGTTGCCAGAAGCTTGGTCCTTGTGCCTGATGCCAATCCAATAATGAGGATACAGTTTTGATAAAAAGGAAAAAGAAGGTTTACTGCTTTGCTAAAAAAGGAGAAACACAGAAGACTCCTGTCCCAAAGGCTGTGATTCTGCCCATCAGCAGGAATAGGGGGGTTTTAAAGAGGTGTTTCAGAGAAAATGAGATTAGAGAGGAGAGATTAGGAAGGAGAAGATCAGGGCAATGATCAGGGAGGAGGAGGCTAGGGAAAAGAAGATCAGAGAGGAGAAGATCAGGAAGGAGTCGGTTGGGAAAAAGAAAAAAAAACATGTAAGTTTCAAAGCCACAAGGAATATAGTCTAAGCATCAAGTGAACCCTGTTACAGGTGTTACAAGTAGAGGATTGGAAATAAAGTCAAGGTGGTGGGGGAGCAGGAAAAGAGAATGATGATGGTCAAGGGAGAGAGAGGGAGAGAAAAAAGAAAATGTAAGTGTTGCAGATACCAATTAATAAAATCCAGCTGTAAATCATGATTAAATGTATTACAAGTTTTACGTAAAGTTATTAGAAGCCATTATTCTAGATATTCAATCTGCCCAACTTTATTATCAATTATAGACACTAATCTTTTTTTAATTGTAGGCACTAATTTTTACCATCTGAAAGCTGAAAAACAGATTGAAAAAGAGCTTTGAAGATAAAGAACTGTAACTTTATCATGGGTTTTTCTTTCTTTTTGTTGCAATCTTGGGGTCCAACCCAGGGCCTGGGGAATGCTGGGCAAGTACTCCACTGCTGGGCTACAGTTCCACCAGCCTTTGTTGTGGTCTTCTAATAATCTCCAATCTAGTATTACATCTATTATGGATGCTGTTGAAACGCAAGTCTTGCCAGAACTGCAGTTTAAAGTTCTGCCAAGTTACTGAATGAGCTTTGACAAGTCCTTTAGCCTCCGAGTCTCAGTTTCCTCTCCTGTAAAATGGGGATAAAATACAGCACCTATTCTTTAGGGTTGTTCTTTCAAATGAGATTTAAGAAACAGTTCTTGGGGTGTGTTTGATAACTGAAGGGCACAATTGTCTTGTGTGTTAGCGCTGTGGAGGAAAAAACGAAAGATTTCTCTCAACGCACAGCTAGCAAAATAAACCATACATTACAGAGCTGTTTCACTTTCTCCCTTTGAGATCCAAAGTCATTCTTTTGTTGCCTTTCAAGCGTCAGGCACAATGTTGTGATCCCAAAGTATCACAGTCCTTCAAGTATGAAAGCAGTAAAATATCCAAAGTCTATTTATGGAGAACTTTCTATATATTAAGGAATCAGTTTAATCAACAAAACCTCCTTTAATTCTTATTTTGGTCACCAGCGCTAATACGCAGCAAACGGAGTGAATGATATTTTTAGTGTTCTTCTAAAATTTTTTTTAATGATAATGCTCTTAATGTTGGGCTTGAAATAAAACGAATACTTGACAAGGTCAGTAGATGAGAAAGCACCAGTGGCCTTGATATTTTCTAATTCCTCCTTTGCCCTGTTCTGTCCCCCGTCCCCACCCCCACCCAATTCGCCCAGACCTCTCAGCACGACCATCGCCTAGCAGGGCGACGCGAGG